TGTCAAAAGTACCACCCTGCTGTGGAGTTTATTAGTTTTGTGTACCCTAATAGAGGCTCATGTGTAGATGCTGAAATATTTACTGGCAATTAGTCAACTGTGCTGTAAATGTGTTGTGTATATGCACCCAGTTATGCTAAAAATGTGTGGTTTAGCGGATGACTATGTCTACTTTTTGTAGTCATGCTGTGGTATTTTAATCATCTCTCATATTCCTTCCCTTGATGTGGTTTGGTGCTTGTTCTTAGGAAGAACCACAGCCTCATTTCACACATTGGCCTTTAAAGTTGTTTTCATATTATTTTCTTGCCATATATCCTCCCTTCCCAGGCAGAGCTGTATGCAAACTACACCCTATCACTCTTGTTACCTGGTCCACATTAGTTCAAGAACAAGGAGATATGTCCTTCCTCATCCAGTGCAAGGATTTGCTTATGGACTTATTATCTTTATTGTGGTAGCAGCCAGGTAATGGATCAGGAGTGCAAAAATGATCCCTGTCCTTAAGAACTTGCACAATTTAGTTCCCAAAGCCATTAGTGTTGTGCATCTGCATACAGAGGGGTAGTTAGCCATGTTCATCTGAAGTAAGGCAGAAGGCAGGGCAGGGTGACACCTTAGAGTAGTGGTTCTCAACTTTCTTACACTCGAGGCACCCCTGGATATACTTGAGGCACCCCATGGAAAATGCAGCTCTCAGTTTTCACTCTAACTACAGAAAAATAATAGAGCAGTTTTTCGGTTGCAAAAAACTTAGAAAGACCCAGGGCTCTGTGCTCGGATCAGTACTCTTTAATATATTTATAAATGATCTGGATTCAGGAGTCAGAAGCAGACTGGCTAAGTTTGCTGACAATACCAAATTATGGGGAAGTGTGGTCACGCTAGAGATTCAGACTGATCTGGACAAGCTTGCAAGCTGGGTGGATGACATTCGAGACAGAGAAATGCAAGGTGCTCCACCTTGGGAGAAAAACCTACATCATACTTATAGGTTTGGCAGTGCTACATTCACTAGCACCACAACTGAAAGAGACTTGGGGGGTCATGACTGACCACAAGAATCAATTCACTTGAAGAACAAGGGCTGTCATGCTAAAAATCCTTTCTCCCACCTCTCTGAAGACAGCATCTGCGCAACCAAGATTTGAACTACAAATGATTTTGCCATATGCAATAATATTCTCTTCCTATGTTCCAAATAATAGTGATAAGGAGTTAGCAAGATGATTTAGGTCTGAGAACAATCATTCCTATTCTTCTAGACACTGGATGCCAATTATATTTGAATGCTTGTTTCAGAGATAGGGATATATATATTTGCTGTTTATAGTGAGATGTATATTCCAAAGACAGGGTATATTCCTCATCATTTAGCTGTCTCTATCAATTTATCTTCCCCCACCCCCAAAGGATCTTTAATATATGCTGTGCTTTATTGCATACAACACACACCTTTTTCCAAAAATCAGCTGCCAGAAATTGGGGTGTACACTTTAAGGGAGGAAATATGCATCTTAAGCCCTTGCTGGGGAAAAAAAGAGAAAATACTTGTGTGGGGAGGCAGCACAGTGAGCATGCCAGATTCCTTAGCCAGAATCATGGACACTTTCTTCCCCTTGGCAGAGGCTTGTGTTGCAAAAGCTGACTACCCACTCAGTTCAGTTTGAGAAGAGGGAGCTGGGCAGGTTAGCTCAGCCAGCAGCACCTGTTAACAGAACTGCCTTAATATTTTGCTCTCCCAGATTGCAGGCTTTCATTGGGGAAACAGTGTATTTACCAGCATTTTCAAGGGAAGATTTTTTTTCCTGCATTCTACCTTTCAAAAACAGTGTCTAGGGCATGTTGTGTGAGATAATAGTATTAACTGTTTCCCTGTCACTATAGTGGCAGGGCACCAGCACTGCCTGTATCTTCCTTTTTACTTGTGGTTTGCTATAGGCAGGGGTCAGCAGCATACAGCTTGTGGACTAGTCCACAGAGCCCAGAGGTAGGCTTTGCCCAGTCTGTGTCATAGCCAGGAAGTGGGGAGGGCTGTCTATACTGGGTCATGGCAAGGCAGCTGGGGAAGCACCAGCCCACTACAGACTCAGACAGGGTTGATCCTCCCTCCCCCCACTTTTAGATATTGTTTCCTGTAGTTGTGAGGGAAGATTTGAGGTGGTGATACGGAGAATTCCTTTAGCTAACAATTGCCTGTGAATGGAGGGGGACTGGACTTGATGGTCCAAGAGGCCCCTTCCAGTCCCATCTTCTACTTGAAATGGAACTTTAAAAACATAGGACCCAAACTTCTAGCATCTGAATGCAGGGTGTCCTTTAAAGTTAAGGACTAGTTCAACCTGTCCAGTCAAGCCCATAACTGCATTATTGTGTCTAGTTTCAGATAGCTACACTGTAGCTAAACCACCCAAACTAAGAAGATTTGGTTTCATGCATTGCCTGTCCAAAGTTTTCAATTTTTGACCATAAATGGCAACAGAGACAAGGTGCATTTAAATAAATATTTATTTGTTAAAAAAAAATAAAAAATAAAAAGCTAAAAAAAAGCACACAATTAAAGTTTCTGAATTACAAAGTGCATTATATCATCCCAATACACAATCTTTCATTCAATTTGTAGCTGTTCATTGTACTTACTCTAAACTTTGTAAACACTGTTTCCAAATAACCATTGTGAATTCTACTTTGAAGGCGAAAGGATTTTCCCCCCTATTTTGAAAGAGCTTGTTATGAAGAGGAACAGAAATGGCATGATCTAAACTAAGTCCAATTTACTTCTGATTTGACTAGTAAAAAGAAAATTGCCTTAAAAAATTAGTTTAGACTTCCTCTTATTTCAGTGTAGATTTTCTGATGGATTGGAAACACCGGGGGGGGGGGGAAGAGGCATGGGAATGGAGCCTGTGCATGTGGTCCATACCATGGCTCTGGATTACAATAAATAAATCATTCATTAGCAGGACAGCATTTTTACTAAATGACATTATGCCATACACTTTAGCTTCTTTTATAGGTTGGAGAATTGAATGACAGAACTTGTATACACCTCTATATTCAAGTACTGCTATACCTTAGAATTGGAGAGAATTAACTGCAGGTTGATCGAAAAAGAAAAAATAAAGACAGTGTATTAAAAGTGAACAGCTGGATTCACCTTCAAACTCCCCTGGAGTCAGGATCAAGGTCCTTGGCATGCTGTACAATTTTCCTGTATTTGCTAGGAATGCTTTTCTTAAGACAGGGCTCTAGGGAGTGCAGAACAGAACTGACCAGGATTAGGTTATGGTTAAATATATCATTTTCTTCCTGTGGCTCATGTTTAAAAAAGCTCAAGCCATTTAAATAAATCCATCTTTCACATTTTGATACTGCACATATTATGCTGAAACAGTGGCACTTCTAGCAAATACATTAGCACAGCAGTTCTTAAGCTCTTCTCTATGGCTGAGAGCCATCCCTTCCCGATATCTGCAGACTGATAACCAAATTGTGCAATGGGTAGATTCACACGAGGGTCACAAAACAGCTCTTACGAGGCAGCTGTTTGTACCACTGCATTGAGAACATTATACTTTCCGATTTCACTGGGTATTAAGTCTCCACATTCGAGAAGGCACCTGCCACAAAGTGTAAAATATTTTAAATAAATAAAATAAAATAAAATAGTGTCCTATTAAGGAAATATAAAAAATATATAAGGCAGCGTATAGTTTTTTCCCCCTGAGATGGGCCTATTTTTTTCTTTTTTTTTGCAGTCCTGGGGTCACAACACTCCAGTTTTCTTTGCAGTGGTACCTAGACCTTTTCTTCATCAGTTTTTCTTGGCTGTACTAAAAAGAAAAAAAAAAGTTTAATTCAGTGTTTATTTCACTCAGCTAACGTTTTTGGATTTGGTTCTGCTTTTAAAGGAAAATGGCTTTGCTAATAGTGGTGGAAGAGATAGTATTGTGAATGGTTTAAAGTCTCAGAACTACAGAAGATCTTCAATTGTGTTGCTTTATAAAAAAGGAACATTTAGCAATGTTGAAATGGAGAGCTTGGTTTGGAACAGGACTGCCAATGAGATTGACAAAAGAAAAAAAAAAAAGGAGTTAACATGAACTAAGAGCAGCTGACTTCTGAGACTCCACAGCAACAAAATCCTACCCAGAGGAAGTGTCAGACTGGCACTGGCTCCAACTGGGAGTGACTTTTAAAACAGCTTAGTCAGATGTTTGACAAGAAATGTGCTAAGGCATATCTCAGCATGGTTTTACTGATGATGACGACCATTTCTCTGTGTTTGCAATGCACCAGAACAGAAATACGTAGAGGTTGTGCAGCATCTAGGAAATCGTTCTAGGAACCATTCCTGCAGAGCGTACCTTAGATACACAAAGAGGAAAACCACTGCAGAACCATTAAGTGGTTGGGTCCAACTGGACAAAGCAGGTTTTTAAGAGAAATCAGGTGCAATGACAACAATCAGATGTGTGGCTACCCAAAAGTCATTAACAAGCCCTGCTTTGCAGGGGGCTGTTGGAGGATTACAAAGAATTTGACAGGTGATTCCTAGTTTTATTCAGAAAACAGTGGGACACACACACACTAACTCTATTGTGTGACAGCATGGGATAACCTAAAAGCCTTCTTGCACGGATGATGCAGAGCGGCTAACTGCAAGCTCTTTCTCCAGTCCTGTGATCCTGTCGGGGAGCGGAGAGGGAGTGCAGGTGGCCCGCCAGGTGGGGGGGAAGACCAGGCAAGAAAGAAGGGAAGTGGGCTTCCCTTGGGGCTTGAACCCCAGGCTCACCCAGGGGCTGCGGAAGAAGCGGGGCAGCCTGGCTCAGGCCGGGCACCTACCGTTGGAGGATCTTGCTGATGATGAGCTGGACCCAGGGCGCCGCGGGGCTGAGGCAGAGCTTGCGGTCGTCCTTCAAGGTGGCGCTGCGGGAGAGAGAGCAGAGGTGAGCGCGGGCGGGGCCGGGCCGGGCCGGGGGAAGGGGGGCGGCACTTACATGACTTCGGGCACGGGGCAGTGCGGCCCCTCGGCGATGAGCTCCACGTGGGCCAGGCGCCGCGGGCCCACGCGCTCGGACGCGGTCTGCAGGCACTGGCAGCGCAGCTCGCCGGTCACGGGCGCCCCTGAGAGAAACACGCGCTTGTCATCACCGGCCCGGCCCGGCCCGGCCCGGTCCGACCTGACCCCGGCCCCTGTCCCCTCACCCCGGCAGAGCGCGGCGCAGGCGGCCAGCAGGGCGGCGAGGAGCAGGACGCGGCTCATGTTGGTGCGGGCGCTGGGAGAGTGGTGCCTGACCCGGCGCCCGCCGCCCTTTTATCCGCCAGCGCGGCCGCCGGGGCTTTCTCGGCGCAGGGCGGTGTCCAGGACTTGCACGGGCCATGAAGGTGCCCGGCGGGGCAGGTGGCGCGCGCTCCTCCCCGCTTCTTTGTTTTCTGAAGTGGAGCCTGCCCGCCTGCCCAGGCTGCGGCTGGGTCGTGCAGACGTGGGAGGCGGCGTGGGTGCTGGAAGCCCGCCAGGCCCTGAGCATGTCGGTTTCCAGCACCCGTGCACCGCTGGTAGCAAACTGAAACACTTGCTACCTTCCAGTCATTTAAGGTGGAATATGCCGCCAAACGTGCAAACAGCAATGCCATTGAAGTGTTGCAAAAGGTCATTTAAGCTGCTTTAAAGGCGAATTTTGTGGCGTGTACAAAAGCCCCATATCCTTACTTTACCTTCACCCTCTTCTGACATCCCCTGCTCCTCCCAGCTACAGAGGCACAACAAGGAAGACAGGCACTGAGAGCAGCGGGCTACATGGGGGCAGCAGGGATTTCGGGGTGTCGCTGTGCTGCTGGCATGATCGTGCTGTTGTGAGAGCAGCTGTTATTTTTCTGGCCCCTCACACTGAGTCAGAGGCCGGGCTGCTACCGAAGTTGCCCCACTCCAGTTACACAACTACCCCTTGGAACTGGGGCTTGAACCAAGCATTTCCTTAGTTTATGAAATATTCATGGGACTACTCAGAAATGTTAAAGCAATGGCTACTTTTCTGCCTACTGATTTTTATTTATTCTGTGTTGTACCTGATTTAAATACGTGTCCTTCTGCTGCAGTATGTCTTTATTTTTTGAGCAATCCAAATCTAACTATTCTGATTATATTATTATACTTCAATGGACCCATTCACAAATCCCTGTTCATGAACTTTTTCCCTGTAAACTAACTCTTACAGCGACTCCCATTCCTATAAATCAAGTCATGCAAGTTCCAAGTACCAAACCTACAGTTTCATTATAAGAAGGCTAACACCATAGTTTTTATTACACTTTTGGTTATGCTATTGGCAAAACTAGAGGGCATTTTTATTTCCCAAGAGGAGAAAAATATGCCTTGGTACATTGTCCTGTAATGAAAAGAATGCAGAAGATTTAACTACACAGTGAAGGAAGTTCATATGAACCTCAGAGCTGCCACTACTGAAAGCAAAGGGAGATTTGAAAACACGCAAGATGTTTGGAGTTTTGTTTTTTTAAGCCTGGCAGTCCCATTCACCATTTTTCTTCTTCCTCAGGAGGGATTTTCTGTAAAAACTGCCTGTAAGTTAACTCAACCAGTTGTCAAACTGGGTGAAATTCAGCAGGTCATTAACTTTGGGTGTATCAGACTATGGTAAACTTGCAGAAGTTCCTTTCATGTATCATCCTCCCTGTGTAGAAATGAGATTGCTAAAGTGGCTCCAAACTGGGCCCCAGAAGTTCCCTAGTAGCAAATTCCTCATATCAGGAAAAGATCATTCATGCAGGAAACTAGTTTATGGACAAGCTCTGATTGCCCCATCTCATGAAGAAATGTATAAAGTCATTTTTAGAATGTGAATGCTGTCACACACTCAAACTATTAATCTGTCATGCTTGGAGGAATATCAAAAATAGGGAATAGAAGTTAGCCTTCAACTTTAACTCTCCCCTGGCTTCCTTTCTATGGCATATATGATGCCATAAGTACCATAAAATTAATTAATTCCCATAAATAAGTAACTGTGCTTAAAAACTCATGGGCCATATGATCCTATGGCTCCACAAGGAAATATAAATATAGGATCGGCCTTAACCCCTACTTGCAAACCACCTAAAGCCCTTCTGCTAAACAGTGTTTGGTTGGCCATGGGCAACTGGAGAGGGCGACGCCATGAAGCAGTCCCACTAGGCAGCATGCTGTCTTTGAAAACCAATGTGATTGCCAGTGAAAACAACAGAATATTATTGCTTATAGCATTCAGAACATGTCATAGATCCACCAATGATAAGAAGATCAGAGATCACATAGAGAACTAGGTGCTACTTGAGGATGTCCTGAGATCAAAAGGTTGGAACCAGTTTCCCATAGCTTCTCAATAATCACAAGACTGGTGGTATAAGCACTCTGTTACCATTATATGGCTGCTGCCTCCTCCCATCATTGGAGATTGCATTATTCTCTGCAAGTTTATTAGCAATCCTGGGTTATAGGTTAGTTGCCTACATTTGTACAAACACATACATTTGAACAACTCTAACCCATGTGAGTGAGGTAGCCCAAAACACTACCAGAAAGTGCCTGTTTGTATCAGCCTAATTTGGCAGCTAACAAGCTCTACACGATTCAGGTCAAGAGGTCAAAGGCAGTTTGTTAGACTGTTCATGCTTCAATTTGACCTTATGGGGAGGGTTACATGTGTTGTTGGGTTTTTTTGTTCATCTTTTTTTTTTTTTTGCCTAACAGGGATGATGTGCCCCATATTATTTCAAAGGTCTCTATTAAACAGAATAGCATAATACTGGTAGGAAATCATATCACAGTTTTGTCTGAGGAAGAGCTGTAGGACCTGGTCCTATAGTAAAATATCATGATGTTTGTTTTATTGAATAAAGCCTCCATGTGTGGGTCTTTGTTTTAAAACTTAGAATTTAGCTTTACTCAGCAAAGCAAACAGACAAAGAACACTAGGCAGTCTTATGAATTGTGTCCAGAAATGCGCTTACTTTTTAAGTAAGTATTGTCCCTGAAGTACTGTCCCCAGAAACTGAATAGCAAAGCTGAGATTCAAGCTAGGTTACCTACAACTTTGTGTGTATCGTTACCAGGAAGACAGTTTGCCCAGCTGTGACTAATTGGTACTAGTGAACAATGATGATGAAGGAGATGATGCACAAAAAGGAATAAACTTTAGTTCCTTTTCTTTTAGCTATATTGTCCCAACTAAGCTAGCAGTTAAAAAAAAAAATCCAGCAAAACATATCTAGGCCCCAATCCAGCAGTTGGATCCATGCAAGTAGACTTCTGCAGCTTCTCACATGACCAGTGAAGTCCATGGCCACGTCCACACATGCATGGACATTTGGTTCCCTGGGACAACTAGTGGTGGTGCACCTTATGCTGTCGCTAGCGCGCCCTCTGGCACACAAGTTACCTTGGATGGGGTAGGGGAGCCTGGGGCCAGCACTGGGGTCCTGGAGACCTCCCAGGGCTGCAGCAGTGGTGATCCTGCCATGAGGAGCCCAGCTGGCAGCAGGGTGCAGCTCCGGCTGCCCAGGCTCCAGTTTATTCTGTGCAGTATGTCTTTATTTTATGACCAATCCAAATCTAACTATTCTGATTATAATAATCCGGTTATAATATTATACTTCAATGGACCCATTCACAAATCCCTGTTCATGAACTTTTTCCCTGTAAACTAACTCTTACAGCGACTCCCATTCCTATAAATCAAGTCATACAAGTTCCAAATACCAAACCTACCGTTTCATTATGAGAAAACTAACACCATAGTTTTTATTATACTTTTGGTTATGCTATTGGCAATGTTGTAGAGGGCATTTTTATTTTCCAAGAGGAGAAAAATATGTCTTGGTACATTGTCCTGTAATGAAAAGAATGCATAAGATTTAATACAGAGTAAAGGGAGTCCATATGAACCTCAGAGCTGCCACTACTGAAAGCAGAGGGAGATTTGAAAACACCCAAGGTGTTTGGGGGTTGGTTTTTGGTTTTTTTTTTGAAGCCTGGCGGTTCCATTCACTATTTTTCTTCTTCCTCAGGAAGGATTTTCTGTAAAAACTGTGTGTAAATTAACTCAACCAGTTGTGAAACTGGGTGAAATTCAGCAGGTCATTAACCTTGGGTGCATGCACCGCTCCGCTTTTTTTCTCCCCGCAGGTTTTTTTGACCCCTGCATATGCACATGCTGCACAGCCATGCTTGTCTGAACGTGACCCACATGACTGTGTACACAGAGATTGGACCTTTTGTTACTAACATCATGATGTATTACTTTAAGTAAATACATGGAGCACATGAAGAGAGTAAGAAATAGTAATCTGTACATAGTCACTTGATGGAGTGCAATTGTAAATTAAGCATTGTTTTTGGATTGTCCACAATGAATAATGCCTATTCACATGAATACACTGGATTTTATGCCTGACACACTGTTCAGAATGTCTGAAGCAAACTACTAATTCCTAAGTTGTTACTGTTGGGGAAATTCCAGAAAGTCTCCTGTGGTCCGAGACATGAAGCTGGTGTTTTTGAAACGGAATAGCTTGTGTTTTAGAGGGAGGTGCCTTGTGCCAAAACTAGCATCAGTCAGGGATGTATCATAAGCATGCTGCGATTCAGATCAGTGCTGAAGAATGAGTCCTCTCTCTCGCAAATTAGTTTTGCATGCATGAAAGCCCTAGCTGACATCATTAAGAAAATTCCCATTAGTAAACTCCTTTTGTGAGTAAGGACATGCTAGATTGGGGCAGCAATTCTTACCTGGGGTGCCTTGGTACTTTAGAATGCAGCTTTCATGGGGAGCTGTACAATATCAGTGCTGTTGAGTGTGAAAACCTACACGATAAACCAGAAATTCAGAATAGGAATCAAGAGTGCCAAAGACACTCTGAGTTGTGTTCTTTGAAATAGAATTGCTCCATTATTTTTCCATAGCCAAAAAACAAGTGAAACCTAAAAGCTACATGGACAGCATTTTCCAAAGGGTTCACTGAGTCTAAAAAATGTTGAGAACCACTGAATAGGGCCTTCTGTGTACCATGTTGCCATCTTTCAAAATGATGTGGGTAAGCAATCTACATTCTTTCATAGTTGATAGTTGGTAGGGTAGGGTCAGAAGGGACCTGAGCAGCTCAAGTCCGACCCACTGCCATGGCAGGAAAGAGTACTGAGATCAGATGACCCCAGCAATGTGTTCATCCAGCCTCCTTTTAAAGACCCCCAGGGTAGAAGCCAGCACCATTTCGCTTGGAAGTTGGT